AAGGGAGGATACATAGTATATTACTATAATTATGGTTAATTTGAATGTAGGCTACATTTCACCCCAAAACGGAACATAAAAGCAGGACCAGCCATCATACATTGAATTCCTTGACTAACAAGAGAAAGATTCATTCATTTAAATAAATATTTAACCAGAAATGGTCCGGTTCTAAGGGGTTATTCAGTTAAGCCCGATGAGAGGGGATACAGCTGTGCACATGTCATCATTAACAGACGTCGTTTAAAAGTGACGTTTGAGTGAACGAGGACATCCCAATTAATACCTGAGGACTCCTCTGTCCTTGCGTCACCTCTTCGTGTCTCTCGCTCGCATCTTACAGAGGCGGAGCTAAGACGCAAGGAAGGGAAGCGAGTGAGGGAAAGGAGGAGTCGAGGAGGGGTATTGGGATGAGGCTTTGGTCTTTCCGGGACTTGAACTGGTGACCTTCCAGTTGCCAAGCCAAGTCCCTATGGACTTCGCCACCACCGACTGTTTACAATCCTAAAATGTAAGAAGTGAGTCTAGGTTGGTTCAGGAAAGGAGAAGTAAGGCAAACCACGTGTCATTCCACTACATGACTGAGAGTCTAGTTGAATTGTTTAGGGTATCAATAGAGATGCGGCTCTTTCGGGATGACTAGTTAGAAATATAGCAAGAGTTTTGTTTCTGTTAATAGCAACGTGCTCCTTAGGGAGTCTAGTTTATGGTTACATTTGATGAGTGAACATTCTAATGCACAACATATGCCTGCACACACAAATAGGCAGTGCGTATTCCCACAGCCTCAAGGCTAACTTAACTGACCACAAGTTGGCCACATATATTTCCAGACAGTATGTGCCATCACTTCTGAAGAGCATCTCCTTCCAGCTCCAACTGAGTGGAGAGATTAAGGTCTATGTGGAGATATTTATGTTCCAATTATTTTTAAATGTACCTTAATCTTTGCCCTATTTTTCTCCTAAGCTTTCGCCATCACTCATACCTCCTCCTTCATGCCTGTCTCCAGAAGCATCATGACGCAGGCCTCGAGGGGCAGAGCGATCTCACGGCTGCTCCTCTTCAGGTGCTCCTCCAGCAGCGTGCCGAACGCCGGCTTTTCCATCCAGGAATCTAAGCAAGAGGTCAGTGCCTTTTAACTTATCTGAGTGTTGGACAGCATTTCTGTTCTGTGTCTGTCAACAGTTTTACTTTTTCTTAATGATCTCTCCTTTAATCTCTCAGCGTTGCTGTCTCATACATACTTCCCCTGTCTGAAGTCTTTATCATGCATATACCGTATGTTCAAGGTCAACAATGTTCTTTCTTTAAGAGAAAACGAGCCTGGGAAATGAAGTTTCTTCTATAGACATTTACAGAATGTATAGACATTTACACACATTTTCCTCCTCTTTAGCTGGCTGTGTTTTGAATAATTCTATTTGCAATGTCAACCAAGACAGTTGCAACAAGCCATGACAAGCCAGTCTACATTTCTCAACAGCACAGAGCAACTTGTTTATTGTTCAAAATTAAGGACTTCAGCTGCCAGCTCTAAAACCATATGAGGGTTTAATGAATAATGCATGCAAAGCTTATGTGTTTTTCTATTGTTTGCAAATGTAGTAAATGTCTGTTTTTCTGTTCACCTTGCTGTATTTGGATAGTCGGTATCGCTGCCTCCAGAGCTGCCAGAGACCTCCTGTGGTAATCTGCCTGGGCCTCTAATAACTGTTATGTATACAAAAACACAATCACAGGTCAAATAAACAAACCATTGGCATAATATAGTGAAGCAGTCATTCAACAAAGCATACAGTTATAGTGGAATGGACCATATTTGCATCATATTTCCATTTCCGTTCTAGGTCATTTAAACTAAACTGAGGCACACCCACCATGACATAATAGCGTGCGTAATCTCCCTCTTTGGAGGCGAAGTTGTACAAGTCTGCAGAGAGCTGGTCCTGTAGGATGAGAAAGATAGATGTATTTCCATACATGGCAAACTTCATGGCAACCTAAAACCTTCTGCTTTACTTTGGACAGTAACTTTTCATTAAGACACAGATCAACTCCAGATGACAAAGCAATGACCTTTAATTACACGGTCTTAATATTGAGCATAGTGTGTTTGTTCCTATTACAAGGCTGCCTTTGTTTGCCAGTTCATAAGATATGATCCAAACCTGATGAAGAGGCCCTGACTGGAAAGTAAAGCTACTAGATTAAATGTGCCTCTATTAAATACTTTACATGATGCATAATGAAACCTCAGTCTTTGGCAAAGCAGGTTATGAAACAACAGCACAAATCCTATTTTGAGTCATACATAAAACATGGTGCATTATGAAAAGAGAAAAGTTACCTTGCATATTTCTACTTTGTTGAGAGCCTCGTCCATCTCGTCTTTGAGAGAATCGGCTTTAGCTGCCATTGCCTGGTTGTTAGACTTTGTTGCCTGGTACCACCTGGAGCAATAGTAATTATTTAGGCATTGAAGTGCATCAGATAATGACAAAACAAATATATTATACAGCAGTCACTTAAAATGTTTGTTATCCTAAATATGCAAAAGTGTGCAATTCAAGAAAACATGTTAAAGTGATGTTGCTAAATTAGTTATTTTTTCAACCTCTATTTTAAGACTACAGGCCAGTGTACCTCGTCTTGCCAGAGTCATAATCCAGAACCAGCTTGGCAAGTTGTTTCCTCTGTTTTAGTATATTTGGAATCTCGACCTGTGGGAAAAGCAGAGGGGATTATGAGAACAGCATGACCACACATGCACTTGAGTCCAAATTGAGGATAACACCTTTCCTGTGAGAACATTTTGTCAATATGAATCACTGAGAACGGCGATATAACACAAAAAGATGCCAAAGGCCATGTTGAATTTGGCACATTCATGAGACACACGCACTGTGTACGGAGTGTTTCCATCAATAGTAAGTTGGCTTATATGCTAACCAAATGCTAACCCCTTGTGCCTCACTAGGGCCTTTTTAGGCTTTTATTTGTAAATTGTTATGACTGGGTTATGCATTCGGCATACATTTTGTCAAGGGTATGAGTCATTGTCCCCCAATGTATTTTTCAGTTAAAGAAATTGTATAAATTAAGAAAGATGGGACTATATGAAGCAGAATGTGAATAAGTCTATGTACTCTGGTCCTGCATTGCTAAATATTTTTGATGTCTTTGATGTGATGTCTGTTCTTTATTTGCAGGTCCCATTGTTATTGTTGTTGTTATTATTGTTATTATGCGCCGCTTTCCACCTTCTTCTCCAGTAGGACTCAGATGAGGGTGTACTGTTATGTTTGGCTGTGAACATTTTTTTTTTTTATTATGAAGGGCAGACCATCTATTTGTATTTATTTTGTTTTTTTTAGAAAGGGGCAGGTCATATAAGATTGTATTCTTCTCCCTGCTCCTTTTCGCTCAATGGTGGTTGTAGAGACATGTTTTGTTGGCAATTACTGTACATTTGGTTATGCGTACCATGAGCGGGACAAATACAAATGAAATGGTTGTTATTTAGAATAATTATTTAATAAACTACATAAAGTACAGGCACTCTGACACCTTAGAATACAAATGGCCCCATAAACAACCCAATAAAACCACAGTGTTTGATCCCACAGCCATTACATCATAAAAATGCAAGCTCTTTTTCAAAATATTAAAACAGCGGCATTTTGTCAACAAACTGGCATTTTAAAAGGCTAAAATTATGGAAATTATTGAATATTTGGAAGGGATTATCACTACTGAAGTTTGATAAAAAATATAGTTTAGTGAAATTGACAGTGGAAAATGATGCATTAATAAATGGATCACTATAGTATGCAGAGAGGTTCAGTATTTTTACCTCAGCCAGCTGGTTGAGAGGATCCAGGATGTCTTTCTCGATCTGAACTTCATGCTGCATCAGCTCAGTCGCTAATCTGCTCTCAGCCTCTCCACACACATCCATCATCCTGCTGCTCACACACAGGAATGTGTACAAATATTGCTGTTATCAATACTACCCAGTAAAACAATTCACATACTCATACTTTACATTCCTTTTACTTAAAGATCACTTTTAATGTTGATTTTTGGTCATTTAATCAATGGAGTTTATTTTTGGGATAGACAAGCATCTCACCCAATCAGACCGTCGTCTCCAAGCTGACTGCCTCCCTCCTGCATGGCCTGGGACAGTGTTGTCAGGGGCAACTTTTTCTGCAGACAGACCAGCAAACAAAGTTAATTTACTTCAAAAAGTGGTGAGTAAGTGAGGTGATCAAATATTCAAAGTGTTCAGAAAATCTAAGATAAAGTTACAATACAACACTGATTTGTTAGGTTGTGTTTTCTAGTATATGGGTGGTTGATGTAAGTCTGCTGTTCAGTGATAGTGAAGCGGGCAGGAGGCCAGCGCTGAATATTTGTCTCCTGAGTGCCTCTCATATCAATGTGTTGCATAAGAGGAGATGGTATGTGTTCATAACACATGATAGCCAGTCTTTGCTAATACTTAATAATGGAGTCACAGTGATTCACCTTTATTCAATTTCAAAGTTGTGAGTTTTTGTCCTCAAAGTAAAGCTGCAGTTTAGAGAAACTTACATGTCTCTTCTCTGTGTCCGTGCCCGGCTGACCCTGCAAACATGACACCAGCCTCTTGTGTGTGTTGTGCGACACCAAGCGCACCAGCTCCAACCGCCTTTCGATCTGTTAGTACACAAAACTGTTAAGAAAACAGGGGAAAAAAAGACAATCCTACTTTGTGACTTTCCCAAAGCAGCCCGTGAGAAAGCTACAAATCAAAACATTATCAGTTGTACCAGCGCACATCCATGACCAAACTTTCCATCCCGCTCTTGTTGTTGAAAAATGATGGAGGATGTCGGTGCTGTTTGTACAGCTCTGTTCTGCAGCGTGCTGTTACAACAGGCCACACTGACAGCCAGATGGAAGGAATCATGGCAGATAAGTAACAGACTGACGGACTGTGTTCTTAACTGCGAACAGGGAAAGTTTTCTTTGTCTTCTTGACATATGAGGACTCCATGTGAAGATATTATCGGGGTTAACAGATTAATCATTCTGTCGGCAGGCCGGAGGGGACCTGATCTACTGGTTGTTGTACTTTATGATCCGTAAAGTACCATAGGGTGGTTACGCATGTTAAAGCCACTTATCTACAAATCATTTATGCTTTACCTGACCACAGCCCTTTTTCTGGAATGTGATTTAGATTTTGAGATTGATTGTCTACCTTACAGGCAGCCAGCAGTTTATTTCACTTATCCGTCCTCTTAAATACTTAAAAAAACCATGTATTATGTATGGGTCTGTTTTGGCCAATCCAGCAATGTAAAAAAACGTCTATTTAAGTGAATTTATACTATTGTAAAAGATATGAGGATCTAATATTGCCCTGTTAATTGATTAGCAACATTGCCCACAATGGCCAAAAACTAAAATATGTTACTGCTGTAGAGCACTCTATCAAAGTGTCCTAAAATCTAAAAATATTTAGGTTACAAATCAATCCCATAACATCAAAAACCTTGACATTGTTTTGAATTTTTGTAGCACAAAGAAGGCTTCGTTTTGGCATCAAAATGATATCAGAGCGTCCTTGAATCCACCACATGCGAGAGCGCTTAGTTTTATGACCATGTGACAATGACTCGGAAGTCTCAATCAAGGTTACAGTCTCTGCTGTTTTATGTTTTCATACATTACTGAAATGAACTGAAGCCAGCGAGTTCATTGTGAAAATTATAAAATAACTATGGGTTCCTTTGGAAAATGGTCATTAGTAATGTTAAGTATACAACTACTTTATAAAACCTGCTAAAGCACACAATATACCAGTATGATCTTTAAAGCCAATTAACTCTGTAAGCATTGCATGTTACAAATGTTATCACTTCCTCTTCCTGTTTCAGTATAAACATCCAACCCTCTCACATCTAAAAGCCCCTCCTCTACTGTCTAATCCTCATCTTGGTCTCAGTCGTCTTCCTTTACTTTTATCCTCTCTAATTCTCTGTTCACTTCACAGCATGCCAGGCTCTCTCTCTCTCTCACTCACACTTTCCCCCCTCTCCTCCCTTTTCTCTCTCCACCCTCTTTCCTGCAGCTGTTGCTCAATGCCAGACCACAGCTGGATTTGGCTTCTTTGCCTGGATCCAATTGACTCGCTCACAATTCAGTTGATCCCGAGCTCTGATTAATGTATGGAAGTCTAGCTCTTTCTGGCAACGGCTATATTTTATCCAGTCCTCGAAAACTCTTGTGCCAAGAAGGAAAGGAAAAGGCCCGATGGACTTCAGTGCAGGCACAGACTGGATACAATGGGTTATTGCATAGTCTCTGCTGAGTTTTCCATGAGTATACTACAAAAGACCTTAGAAAAACAAGGACCGCTTTCATTTGAAATGTCTCAAAGTTGAACCATCTTTCTCCATGTTGCTTTTTTGAACCCATTAAGTAATGATACGCTAATGAAAAAAACGTTATGACTCATTACCATTTAAACATCCTCACATCTCAAGCGGCGAGCTTTATTAGGCCTCAGGGAGAAACTGAACTATGGAAATAAACACACAGAAACACTCTAAAAAACTAAAGTCAGAGTCGTGGACAGGAAAAGAAAGCAGGAAATCTCCCTGATCATAGGCACAGATGAGCACACATGATCCTTTCGCCTGCTTCTTAAGTTATGGAGCTGTCCAAAGGTTAACAGGACAGTAACTGCCATCTTTTCTTTTTCCAGACAGCAATGAAAAATGTGAACAAAGCGAGCTAAAGACCTCTGACCTGCCACAGCAAAAGAAAAAGTGGAACGTTTAGTGAGTCATGAGGAACTGGGAGGTCGGATAACATTTAGTTTTCTTGCTTGGAGCTACTTTGGCAGAGTGGTTAGCTCGTTGACTGAGGATCTAGCTGGCTGACCTTGTTGGCAGGATGGCTAACTGTATGGCTAGATGATTGTAGAGCAGAAACAGGATATTCGAACAAAAGAGAATAGTTTGACATTTTGGGAAATACACTTACTTTCTCATTCGTCTAGAGTTGGATGAAAACATTTGTATCCCTCTCATGGCAGTAAATATGAAGCTAAAGCCAACAGCAGGTTAGCTTAGCTTGGAAACAGCAAGCCTAGCCCTGTTTGAAGGTGAACAAATCTGCATCTCAGGGCCTCTAGCGCCTTAGCATCTTTTTCTTTTCTCATAGTCCAGCACATCACCCTCTTTAAAACCACAACGTTACAATTCTACATCTTGTTGTTTGTGCTGATTAAACAAAACAGATATAACATAATCATTAGCTAGCAGTTTCCCCCTGTCTTTGTGCTAACCTAAGCTAACCAATTCCTGGCTCCTGTAACATATTTAGCATAAAGACATGAGTGGTATTGATTTGTTCATCGTACTTGACGTAAGACTAAGCATATTTCCCAAAATGACTAATTCTTCCATCGACAGATCGACCCAGTGTTCTTAAAGATAACAAAAATGAACTGTGTATTTGTAGGCTAAGCTCACTTGTCGGTAAACTGCTTTACATACAGTATCAGATATGAAAATGTTCCAGTAAGCACAACAGAACATTGTGTTTCCTAAGTTTTAAGTAATTTAATACTGATCAATGGGACCATTTCCAGCCTCAACTGTATGAGAATCTCCTTAGCTCCCACCGAGGCAAGACATGTCCAGGCAAGACAAATGCCTTAGCCAATGCAGAAGACTATGGAAAAAGCAGGAAAAAGACTACTACCACTCCATGGAAATCCGTGTCAAATTTCAAGTTGGACGGTACAGAGAAAGGGGTGTGGGAGCATGTTGGGGAGAGGGAAAGGAAAAACTATAATTTTCCCTGCTTAGGTTTGGAGAGATTAAAAACTTTCCCTGCTAGTGGGATTGATTTTAAATGTCAATAATGATTTGTCAGTCTACGAAACAGTAAGCTACACTTTTTGACAACATGTCTGTAATCAGTTTGCAGATTCTGACTTGAAGCTTGAGCTGTTAGGCCCAAAAGACATCCAAGCCACTTCCACTATGCTGACCGCTTGACAGTCACATTCCTCACCGAGAGTTGCAGCTAAAGGAATGTCTAACGCAGCACAAAGCTCCTGTCGCTCATGACGAGGACCAAAGACGAGAGAACGCATTCTCTGAAAGGGCTGGGTCGGTCTGTGCGGTGCTCTTTTGGGACAATCGTGTAAACATACATTACTTAATTGAACTATACTGCTGTTAAGGCTGTCTGTCGTGATTACAGTAAAATATTGAGCTTCTTTAGCTTATTCAATAAAAAAAGTAGTGAGTTTGCTCACAACCAAGTGTTTGTGCTGAGTGTTGCTGTGTGTGTAAACCACACAGGGTTCATAGTTCACTTCTACACGTCATAAAACTTCCATGACTTCACCTTCACTCTTCCTTTCACAAAAGCTTCTTTCTACATTCAACAACCTCTGTTTTTCAGTCTCTCCTGTTTTTCTTCACACACTTTTCCTAGCAGTGATCCCACAGTTTCACTAGTAAGAATCCTCCCATCCCCCAACATACACAAACACACACGCACAAACACACACGCACGCATAGAACGTACATCCACTATGATTTCAAGATAACAGAACATTGCCAGGGTTCGCCTTGAGTGGAAAACCGTGAGGCACTTTTGCTTCAGTGGCAAACCCCTGAGCTGGCGAGGCATTCCTGAAGGTTTTATGCCGGCAGTTGTACTCCAAGACTGCAGAGAAACTTGGCCTTAACATGCTCAGGAATGATGACTTTAGCAGAGCCTGTGAGTAGAACTAGTGAGTCCTTTAATTACCCATGCATTTGACTGATTCTAAAAACACGAGATACACTAGAATGGTAAATGTTGCTTTTCAGTTGTATTTTACAATATGAGGCAACTGTTTGTTCCTAGAATACAGTCAACACTTTAACATGAGATACAGTTTGTGTCTAAAGAGCCCCCTGAGAGTTGATTTTAAAGAGAAGAAAGATGTCATATTTACATGTAGGAGGTCATCACTCAGCACCTCAGTTTTCTCAGCCCTGTTGAGGGAAACACAAACAAGGAAAAGATCAAACACTGACAACAAGAAATAAAAAGAAATAAAACACAGGCATTGAAAAACACACCCTCGACATACAGAGATAAGACAGAAAACCATGAACCCCCAAACAATGTAATGCAATCCCAGAAGAGACACATCTGTCTGTGGTAATGAATTTGAACTAAATGCTCAAAGAATATATAAACCGGTATTTACATTACATTACATTTCATTTCATTTAGCTGACGCTTTTATCCAAAGCCACTTACAATTACAGGGACATTCTCCCTGGAGTAGCTAAGGACTAAGTGCCTTACTCAAGGGCACACAAGTGGTGGTGTTCCTGGCGGGATTTGAACTCACAACCTTCCGATCTTCAGCCCAGCTCACTCATTTAAAAATGTCTCACTCACACACTTCCCACTTTCTTTTAAATAGACCACGAGAACTGTATTTTAATTTAGCAAGACATTACTTGCTCTTCAAACTCAGAGATCAACAGATGGCATAGACACCATCAAACTAAAGCAGAAGACTATTTATGGCCCAACCTGTCTGCAGTTAGTGCCTACAGCAAATTATAAAATCAACAAGATAATGTTGTCACACAGTAGACCTGCCTATGTGAAATACTGGGTACCATTTATGCACACATACTCAACATGTTTTCACGGATTCCTCTACCCTGTCCGAACACACACTTCCTCTTGTGTCATTGGTACCTTGTTTATTATGGCAACAGGAGAAGGTGTGTGTAGTTGTGTGGAGAAGGGTTGCCAAGTGGCATGTTGAGGTTTGAAACACACTGCAAATTGTAGCAGAGTCTGCAGAAAACAGGATAGTGACATCACTTTGTAACGTTGATCAAACGCTAAAAAATAACCTCTGAAATAAAATGTGCTTCTTTATGTGACTTCAAACTTTTAAAACATATTTTACGTTTTTCATTTTCTCGCTGAGCTAGTGAGACCAGCAAACAAGCAAATCGTTCATCCTGTCGATATCCAACAAATGCATTGACCTCCGATGTATAACCTCTACACACACAGACATCCCTGAAGACTTCTCCCCTTCCTTTACCAGAGCAGGCCCACGGTATAGATTTAAATCTCACAGGGATCAATTAACCCTCTCCCAGACAGGAGCTAATACTGCTATAAATGACACCCTACGTATTCAGGCTTACCTCACTATGACTTAAACACAATTGGAAAATGCCTTTGGCTTCAGTCTGCAGAAAGGAGCTTGTACCATAACTACAAATCTTCTTTTCGACTGGTCACAGACTCTTATACATATTTTCCATTATGTATGATCATTGATTTTCTTTTTTTGGCACACAGTATAAGTTCTTGTATTCATACTGAGGATACACTTTTGGTGCACAAAGTGTAAAAGTGCCAGTTTTCCTTGGTCCTCTATGATAGTAAATATAAATTATTTGGGTTTTTGACTGTTGTTTATACAATGCAAGACATTTAAAGACGTCACATTTGGTTCTAAGATATTTTGATGGGTATTTTCTCCTTTTGCTGACATAATCTGGATCAAATGATTAAAAAGAACATCTATGGATTTATAGATAATGGAAATAGTAGTGTTTGCATCAAATGCCTGGTAAGATTCCTAATCCTCCATACAGTTTTATTTGATCAGAAACGTTACAAATTCACATATTGTTACGTCAACAGTTCATGTGTACTACATGCTATATGTGATTGAATGATATAGGACCTGCAGCAGAGAACCTACACTTATCCACTCGATCACATTACACATGCTTTACTGGATTTCTACAGCAATCTTTAGATTCCTATCAATACTGAATCAGCATTGATTTGACTGGAGTGCAGTTTAGCTCTAGCTGGCAGCTATTGTTCTAAGAATAGACTCCCACAATGCTGTAGCCCAGACCTTAAAAGAAAACTTGGAGCAAAAAACACAAAAAGGCATAAAGAGTAGAAATGGTAACTGTGTGATCATTAACTTTAAATTACTGATGAGAAATCTAATCGAACAGAAAGAATAGAAAATAGTAAAAACGTGTCTGTGTTCAAGTATTATGAGTTTTGTTGAAAGTGTTCTGTGTGAGCTTATCTCGCCAAAGTCTCCAGAGGTATGCAGGAATTCACAAACCCTGCTACCCTGCAAGCTTGAACCACAGTGCAACAACTACATGTAAATCAAACTGCTTCCTCTTTTATAAAAACACCCCTCTGTGGCTGTGTGACGTCCCCAGCCCTCTGCTGTGTCCCCATCAACAAGCGTGGAAATGCTTACTCCACAAAAACACTCAGTGCCAGGCCCTTCCTGTGCAAAACACACAACCATGTTATCACATATTGTCATGGGGTCCACAAATTCACTGTTTTTTTTAATTAAAAGTGGAATAATCCTAGTGCTTTTGTGGCAATCAATCTAAAAGTCTGTTATTGCTTGTATGTGTTGGATGGTATTCTGTATCTGTTTGCCCTAACAGATAGAAAACGGTGTATCAAGGGAAGGGTTGTTGTTGTTGAGAATAGACACCACTGAAGCCCGATGGATTTAGAAACATTCATAATGATGTGACTTTCTAATTTTCTTTATTTTAGTCATGTACAGCAGCAACAACAACGTGTCTATTAATTGAGTAGGCGATCAACAGAAAAACATATCGCAATCATTTTCATAACGGATAAATCAATTGTTCTTTAAGTAAACCCTTTTATCCCAGAGCCCTAATCACAAATAAAAAGTGTCTCATAAGTCTTAACTAAAGTCCTAAATCTAATGAACTGATTATATTTGGGTTTGGGACAATTTGTCAGACAAAATAAGATTTTTGAAAATGTAATTCTAGGATCTGGTAAGTTGTGATTGGCATTTTTTCGTCTATTTGAACTAAGAAAAACACATGTTTAGACATTAGACACACTGATTTGACCTAGCAGTTAATTGCACTGATCACTGACCTCATAGTTTGACTCAACCCGCCTTTAACAACACTGCTAATCTCAACCATTTATTCATATAACACTATAACTTACTTGAGTCACGCAGAGCTTCAAATGGCATTCAGTGGGTGTGTGTGTGTTTCTGCCTCTAAGTAACCAGTCTGTTATTATGCTGACTTGAGTTTATGGCTCTTACACAACATATGGAGGAATGCATGTGAGGACTCCTAGGCAAATGGCTACAGGACTATTGGTTAGAAGCTCATTTTGAAGGCATCATCTGTAGTTACCATTAATGCAGTAATAACAAGAGACTATGGCATCAGTGGTGGCTGCTGATAGAGAACAGGGCAGGAAACCCCTGTGGGGACGAAGATGAAGGGGGAGAGGAGGAGATGGTATGTGTGTGGGTGTGGATGTCAATTAACAACCAGTGTCACCACACTTCAGGAAGTATGTGTGTGTGTGCACACCCTTGCCTACAGAAATAACAGTAACTGAAGATGGTAATATGACATCAGAAGTCAAAAGATGACACGGATAGATAGGAATACATTTTAAATAGTGTCATTAATCTATCTTAATAGGACTCAAACAATTGATCAACTTAAGAAAAATGAAAAGGGAACTGTTTAGATAATCAATTATTGGTTTTAATTATTCTAGCAAGCACACAATTGCCAAAAATACCCTTTAATATACCATCTTAACTGAAAGCATTTTATTTTCTTAGCTGTATTTTATTATAGTATTAACACATAATATGAAAGTATGTTATTTTAAAATGTACGATTATGTGTTTTAATGTTCTGGTCAAAGAAAACAAGGCATTTAAAGAGGTCATCTTTGACTTAAAGAATGTATGATGGGCATTTCTTCTACTTTTTTAGGGTTAAATTGTGACTGACTTTTTAACTAGACACACTAGTCCCCACATGGATAGAATGAGAATATAAAGCCTTTAATATATACTTTATTGAACAAAATCTGGATAACAATCCACATTTTGAAGAGTCTTGTATTGTTCATGGTATTGTTAAATAAATCAAAGTTCATGTGATCTGTGGGGGGGCAGGTTTAGTTTATTTTTGACATTATTCACCTGCAAACGAATGCTGTATTCTCCTAAAACTCAACAACCTACCCAGGTATTTATTACGCAAAAACGTAGTCCAGCCCTTCCGACACCAAGGGAGACGTATGAAGAACAACACTGAATGTTGAACAACCTTAAGAAGTAACAGAGTTTGCCTGCCAGAATAAACATGTATGACATCAAGTTGCAAACAACCCTTGTTGTTGAAACAATCTCTCACCTTCCCACAGTCTGGTTGGCGAGTTGCCTCATGCGATTAAACTGTTTCTTCATGTTTCTCCTCCTCTGTGTCTCCTGCTCGTATGTAAAAGTCACTGTTGTCGATCATCTAGCGCTGATCCAAAAGTTGCGCTACGTCGCAGCCATTGTGGCAGAAAGGGCTGCGCTCGGATCACTTTAACGCACCACAGCTGGATGCCTTTTCCTGATTAAACCCGGTGTCATTGGCCGTAGAAAGAAACGCCGAAAAGTCAGTTGAAACAGTCACTTCAAAGCTTTCTAGATCCACATTGCCACGATTTTCCGGCTTCCTTTTAAGCTGACTGGTTTGTCCGCAACCAGTGCGGTAGGAAGGAAGGAGGAAGTGCCTTTACTTCCCTACTGTAAGCTGCACAGCCCCATGGTGACATGTGATACCTTTACAAGAAAAGGGAAAAAAAGCCTTGACTCAGCTATTGGTCTCTCATGGTCGTGGCAAAGTCATTTTCGTTTTAGTTGGCTATAGAAAGTGGTTTTCTATAGAAAATCGTATCATAGTGTTACGGTCTGCTGGATATTTAAAAATAAACTGCTGAATTTATTGGGTGAAATTGGAGAGGCTTGAATTACACAGACTAAACTTTACCAACAAAGATAAATTGCAAAAACGGACCAAAGGCTTTAAATGGCATTTATAGCACTGATCCACGGTCAGTCAGTTTAATGTGTTTCTCTCATAGGCTTTGCTTAGAGACACATGATAGGCACTCTGCTGCCCCCCTGTGGCTATTGCTCTGTAACGACAGGCTCTATCTGGAAATATAATTTATATAATATCATTGGAGAATAATTAAACTCTAATGGTTATTATTATCGGAATAAAACACGTTCAAAAAATATCCCTAGTAGTATCTAAACATACAGATAATATTGGTTTTTATCATATATCCTATTTTTGCACCAACCCAAATTCAATAGCGATTTGATTTTTTTTTCAAGTCAGTTTCCCTGCATTAAAAGTAATGGTGAATACCATTTATGGACCTTTAAGTTGAGTTTGGTTGAGTATATGATATTCTAGCCAATAATAGCTAACATGTTTGTTATTAAGACATAGGGCAAACCTTTGTCTTATCTGCCGTAAAGAGGGTATATAACAAGGGTCAACATTGTAAAGGCGTTCCTGTCTGTGTACCATAATGCCGTGGGACCTATGAACTGTTTGTCATGAGACTAATAGTGATAGCCTATATGATCCCAATAAATGGAGGTAAATGTGAGAAAAGAGGGCATTTTTGAAACTTGGTCAAGGAACTTTAACCCTGGCTTGTTGATGTTAAAGAACAACTATTGGCACCATTTAACATCTGTCAAGTAATGTGAGGCTTGATTTGTTCCTGTTTTAGTTGGTAGCTAATCCTTGTTTAGCTATTACATTTTTCTTTCACATTTTACTTAGTAGGGCTGCTTTGAAAATCTTGCCACTGATAGCAGTTAATGATTGTAAAGGGATTTGCACTCTTGTATCCATGCTTTTCAAATGATAGAATGAGATGTGCCGCTCCAAAAAAGGTTGAAATTCAATGTTAATGTGCTTCTCGTTAAGAGGCTCTTTCAAATGATTTTTGCTCAGGAGATGCTGATCTTCTGGTAATGGTGCATCGACCAAAACATGCACCTCTTTTTAAGCAGTGTGTGACATTTATTCATAGATAAAATTTACTTTTTTGGTCCTCAAGAAGGACACATAACAAAACATTTTTTTATACAAAAAGGCCTAAAACATAGACAAGCACACTCAGAATGGATTTCTTGTACATTAAGAGGAGTTTACTTATTCAAAGCATGTGTGTGGCTGTTGGGAAATAATGTATGCTCTAACAGGACATGGGACGTCCTGCTTCCAGAGGGAAGTTGGCCCAAGTGCTTTATCTTGGCTGTGTGAGATTGTGAGGGCTTTGCGGGTCAGGTGTATGACAATCATTTGCATCTTAAGAGCCTTGTTTACTTTATCTGTTGGTGCGCAGGAAACTTTTCTGAGATAAACAAACGTTTCTATTCACAAGCTTCTGTAGGTGTATAGTATAAAAATAAACCCAAAGGCTCTTGAGGAGTGGTGGATCTCAACCCATGTGCAGACATGTTTCCATAAGCAAACCTTCAAATATTTGTATAGGCCTACATCCATTCCTTTACATCAAAAGAATATTTAGTATGAAAACAGCAAATAATTGAAAATGACTATCCACTCATGTGTTTTCTGCCACTGATCTGTTAGGCCGTGTATGCTGTGTTAGCAGTCTGTGTGCAAACTCTGCACCATCTTCTCCATTCTTTCATTTCATCTGTTTTCTCTTTATGGGAAATGATTCATTAGTAAGTGGAATCTTTTGGAGCCTGACATTATACAGTTTAACTTAAGAAGTGACCTTAAGAAATCTTTATTCAAATATAAATAATGAGTCACAGGCTTTACTCTTGGGTAAACATGTATCAAGTTATCTAGCTTGCAGTTGTATCTGTTTTTGTCTAAAGCCCTAATGTATCTGGAAAAAGAATTGTGCTTAATCTATAACAAGAAGTTTTCTGCATGGTTTGCCATGGACACTAATGTGTTCGGCTTTGACCCTGCCATAAAAAAGTAGCATCTGAAAACATGCTTTTTTTGCATGTGCACTAGTTATGGGAGGGTGTGAGATGACCAGACTATGCTGGATTAATACGGGAAAAAGAGTCGTTGAGTTCATGTCTGGTCAGTGGAGCTATTCTAACTATTAACCTCACGCACCAAAGTCCGTGTGATTAGCAGGCAAAGAGATATTACTAATCTCACCTCAGGTCAGTACGCTCAGTGTAACATCCTCAGCTCGTACAGGTAGACCTCCCTGAGACTCATGGCTCTAGAGAAGATGGAGATAGGTGAAGTCGGGACGTCTCTTATGTCCTCAGAGACTAAGCCTCCTCCAGCGAGACCTCCAAACAAATTTGAGAGGTTATTTCAGCCCTGCCTGGCCGAGTTGGTGGGAACTACTTTCTTTGTGTTCATCGGGTGTGTGTCGGTGATAGAGAATGTGGAGTCTGCAGGGAGGCTTCAGCCGGCTCTGGTGCACGGGCTGGCTGTAGCCGTCATGGTGGCCTGCATGGCTGAAATCAGGTGAGGGTAATCAGGTGTTTCAGATACATTAAACAAATGTATTGTGCATGAATAATTAATGTTTTCTTTAGATTGCATGGAATGAACTCCTGTATGTTGGATGAACACTGATGCATTACAAATACACAAACAGATTTTTCAACACTTCATCTGGTGGCTTTGAGTGCCAATTTAGTAAGTCTTTTTTATCCAGGTGACATTAGTCATTTGTGCTCTTGTAACTTCATATTTTTTTCACATGATTCTGTTCATCATATTACAAAAGTTTTGTTAAAAGAGCAACGGTATTTGTATATAAAAGAACCATCTGAAACAAGCACAGGCTACAACCCACTCTGCCCTTATATCATTCACAAAAGCACATTTGACTCTCAAAATAGGTTTCCAGTTTCATTTATTTGTTCTTGATTCATTTACTGTTGTTTACATTTGAATTATAATTGCATTAAATCTAAGTATTGCCAAATAATTGTATTTTCATCATCACCAGTGAAATGTTGATTTTGTTTTCTTTCTTTAGTTTTTATGTCTGTTCAAAAACTAAAATATTGCAAAAAGAAATTAAGAAAAGAGCAATTTAAGTGAATCAGCCCTGATTACCCATGAACGAATTAATTGCATTTTCAAAATCACTTGTACCACTTTAAAAGCTTGAAGACAACATGACTAGACACCAAGAAGCTTTCCTGCATTACTACATTTTCTGTCCTGAATATGTTCTCTCTAGTGGATCCCATTTCAACCCACCATTCACCCTTGCCATTTATCTCTGTGGAGGGATGGAGTTGAACATGGTGGCTCCTTACCTTGCATCCCAGTTGGTTGGAGGTGTGCTTGGAGCTGCTATGGCAAAGGTGAACCTAATGTCATTTAAACGTCCATCTTTGACTGTTTGATATGTCCAAAATAAAGATCTTAATTGTGTTGAACTGATGCCAACAGGTGATGACCTCAAGGGAAAACTTTTCCAAAGCCAGCGGGGCTGCGTTTGCTCTGCTGCAGACGGACAGTGATATCGGAGCCGCTGTGTTTGGAGAGGTTGCTATGACCTGCCTCGTCACCATGGTGGTGCTGCTGGGGGCCGTCAACACCACCACCAGAAGCCCCATGGTTCCATTTATGGTGGGCTGCACTGTTATCATCAACATTCTGGCTGGGTGAGTAGTAGAAGAAGATATACTTTATTAATCCCTTACAGGGACATTTCTTTCCCCACTCTGTTGTGTTTACACACATTACACACACAGGGGAGGATATACATGCACACACACAACCAGATATAGGAGAGGTGGCAGAGCAGAGAGGCTGCCAGGTACCCGGTGCCAAGGGAGCAGTTTCGAGGTTAGGTGCCTTGCTCAAGGGCACCTCGGCAGTGGCCTTGGAGGTGAACTGGCACCTCTCCAGCTACCAGCTCACTCCATATTTTGTTCTGGTCCGATCGGGACGTGAACCCTACAGACTGAGCCACTGCCGCCTCGAAAGTATTACTTATTGAAGAGAATTGTGCTACATAAGAAGTTCCTTTCTACAATAAAATGGCAGAACATGATATGTTGCAGTAAAATCCTTTAATTTATGACTTAATATCATGTAAAGATGCATTCATTGCAGGTCTGCCAAAGTGAGACATTTTGAAATATCACATCTTATTTGCATCTTCCTGTTTATGCAGCATAAACACTTTATTTTCATATTGGGGAACTTATTTGAAAAATCCAATACCTGTTTCTTTTCTCAGTGGAGATGTTTCTGGCACATGTCTGAACCCAGCCAGAGCCTTTGGTCCGGCCATAGTGCACAACTACTGGGTTTATCACTGGGTGTACTGGGTGGGTCCCATCACTGGAGGCCTGATTGCAGCAGTACTGGTTCGGTAGGTGCAACACAACATACACTTTATACAATGATCCCGGTTTTTGCATTTTGATTAAAGATTCAATACTGACTGAACAGATTACAAACTATGTATCCTGTTTTTGCAGACTGCTACTTGGCGACAGGAAGATTCGACTCATTCTGAAATGAGACTTAAGTCGGTAAATCATTAGGTGGCTTTATCCTCTAAGGTCACAATATGACCCTTTTGTATGTGCCACTGATATGCTTGATATGCTTTGCTTTACAATAAAATTTGACTTTTTCATATCATTTGAGGTACTTTTTTTTTTTAGCCACGTGAAGTGTGTAACTTGTCTCTTGATTCTCTATGAGTGCTGGAGTATGTTTTTAAAGAATATAATATTATGCTTAGCTT